AGATGGGGAAACAATGGAAACAGTGAGAGATTTTAGTTTTTTTTGGCTCCAAAATCACTGCAGATGGTGACTGCAGCCATGAAATTAAAAGACGATTGCTCCTTGGGAAAAAAACCTATGACCAACCTAGACAGCATGTTAAAAAGCAGAGACATTACTTTGCCAACAAAGGTCCATCTAGTCAAACCTATGGTTTCTCTAGTAGTCATGTATGGATGTGAGATTTGGACTATAAAGAAAGCTGAGCACCGAAGAGTTGATGCTTTTGAACTGTGGTGTTGGAGAAGACTCTTGAGAGTCCCTTGGACTGCAAGATCAAACCAATCCATCCTAAAGGAAATCAGTCCTGAATATTCACTGGAAGGACTGATGCTGAAGCTGAAACTCCAAATCTTTGGTCACCTGATGGCAAGGAACTGACTCACTAGAAAAGACCCTGATGCTGGGAAAGATCAAAGGCAGGAGGAGAAGGGGATGACAGAGGATGAGATGGTTGGATGGCATCAATGACTTGTTGGACATGAGTTTCAGCAAGCTTCAGGAGTTGGTGATGGACAGGGAAGCCTGGCGTGCTGCAGTACATGGGGTTGCAAAGAGTCAGACATGACTGAGCGTCTGAACTGAACTAGACTGAACATAATTTGCAGAAATAGTCCAGAGTCTAGTCAGAATATAATCAACATGTGCTGAATCAGTGAAATTCAAGGCAAAAATTTAACAAAGAAGGGCGGGGGGGAGATAACATGGCTAGAACTCAATGCTGCTAAAAACACACACACATATATATGCATATATGTATATATACAAATACATGTGTGTGTGTGTGTGTATATATATATATCTCACTTGGGCCTCTCTTCTGTTTTACCCAAACTTAATGTATTTTTGAAAAAACAGTTTAGAAAATATTATACTACATTATTGGAGAAGGAGATGGCAACCCACTCCAGTATTCTTGCCTGGAGAATCCCATGGACAGAGGAGCCTGGCAGGCTACAGTCCATGGGGTTGCAAGAGTCAGACACGACTTAGCGACTAAACCACCACCACCACCATACTGCATTATATATTACATACATAATTTATATTATATTTAAGACAACATTTAGAAGATGATAAAGAGGTACCAGATGGTTATAGAGTACCAAAGGAAAAGATTCTCAAACATGTGAAATCACAGATATCTAGTACAGCATAAATACTGTTTAAGATTCAGATTTTACTCCAAAGAAAGATTT